CTGGAGGAGAACGAGGCGGCTCTCCTAGGTCAGTCAGCAGGTAGGTGAGCCAGCGTAGCTCCTGTGCAGCCATGGCCCCCGCGTAGATCTTAGCCTCACAGCTGGAGCTCAGAACAGAAGACGAGCGAGTAGACCGCCACGAAACAGAGCCGGAGCCAAGGCTGAAGGTGTAACCCTGTGACGACCGCTGCGTAGCCTGGTCGTCAGCCCAAGAAGCGTCAGCGTGACCTGTGAGGACCACTCGACGTCGCCCTCCAAGCACTAGCCCCATGCCCGAAGTACTGCACAAGTAGCGCAACACCCTCTTCGCTGCAGCCATGTGCTCTGGTCGGTGTCTCCCAGGAGCAACATAGCGTGCCAAGATGCTAAGAGGGTATGCTAGGTCAGGTCGTGTGCAGGTCATCAGGTACATGAGGCAGCCAACAAGCTCTGGGTACGGGCCACTCGGCTCTACGGACTCATCCGAAGGCAGAGCTGAGAGCGAGTGGCGAGTAGACAGAGGAGTGGCCTGAGGCGAGGAGTACGTGAAGTCGAAGCGCTGAAGGACCTGCTGCACCATGTGTGACTGAGTCAGGGTAATGGTGCGCTGTGCTCTGTCTCGGGTGATCTGCAAGCCAAGGTAGCTGCGCAGTTCACCCAGGTCTGTGCACGTGTGTCTCTTCTGCAGCTCAGACTTCACGTGGGCGAGTCCAGCAGTGTCAGCAATGGCAAAGACCAAGTCGTCGACGTACACGAGGATGTAGAACGGCGGCAAAGAAGTGTCGGTGCGCAGAAACAGCGACGGGTCGGCAGTAGAGGGAGCAAACCCAAGAGCCGCAAGTGTAGTCCTAAGTGTGTCGTGCCACTCACGCGGTGCCTGGCGGAGACCGTAGACTGGCCGCCGGAGGCTCCACTGGGTACCAAAAGGAAACGACCCAGTGAAGCCAGGTGGGCGGCGCAGCCAGATCTCCTCGTGCAGGCTGCCCTGCAGGAAAGCTGTGCTGAAGTCAAGAGAGTGAAGCTCGTAGTCGCGCTGAGCGGCTATGTGCAGCAGCACCCGAAGAGTGGTCATCTTCAGGGTGGGAGAGAAGGTCTGAAAGTAGTCAACTCCCTGCCGCTGACTACAGCCTCGAGCCACGTAACGCGCCTTGAAGACAGGCGGAGAACCCGGCGGCCGCTTCACCCTGAAAATCCACATGCCGCAGGTGGGGGAACCTCGTCGACGTAGGTGCCTGTGGACTTCCAGGAAGCCATCTCTACGTCCATGGCTGACTGCCACTGTGAGGAGTAGGGACCCTCGATCGCCTCAGCGTACGATCGAGGAGTCGGGATGTCTGGTGCATCCGGGTCTCTCTCAGGGGCAATCAGCGTGGACACGAGATGAGGCAAAGCAGCAGCAAAACACTGGAACTCCTCCTGCCTGTCCTCAAGGACGTCCGTGCTAAGAGCACACTCACCCCCGACGGACGGAGGACAGACAGACTCAGACTCAGCAACAATACTAGTGGCGTAGTCTAGACGACACCGAGCAGCAAAGTCGACAAGCTCAGCAACCAAGGCAGACGCAGCTGTGGACTCAAAGGAAGGGTCAGTGACAACAGTAGCCAGGAGACGCGTGACAGTAGGACTAGCAGCACGAAGAGAGTGAGACTCCGGGTCAGGAAGGACAGGAAGAGAGGACTCTGGAGGAGACGGCAACGGGACACGCAGAGGAGCAGTGGAAGGACGCAGTGCCATCTCGTGTGTGCCCGGGACGGCAGGAGGACACGGATGTGGAGCACGACTACGAGTGCGAGTAGCACGAACAGGCGACGCAGGACGAGACGCAGGCTCACGACGCTCAGCAAGACCTCCAGTAGGACCAGTGTAGGGAGAAGGAGCAGGCAGTGGGGAGGCGGGCTGTAACTGTGACCGCGACTGGACAGGCTGTGGACACTCTAAGGAAGGAGCAGGACCAGTAGAGGGCGGGAGACCAAGAACCTGCTCAAGGAGCGGAACGAAGTACGGCCGCGGCCGCGCAGCGCCTCCGAAACCAGCAGGGACAGCACCAATACCCCCAGCGGCAGCACCAACGCCAGCAGCACCAACTCCAGCACCCTCAGAAGCACCGGCGCTAGCAACACCTCCAGCGCCAACACCCCCAGCTGCTCCAGCAGCTCCAACTCCAGTAGGACCGTTAGTAGCTCCAGCAGTACCTCGAGCAGGACCAACTCCAGTAGCCCTAGCACCACCCCCAGTCCCAGCAGCTCCAGTACCACCAGTACGAGCACCTCCAGGACCAGCAGCAACAGTAGCACCTCCAGCTCAAGCAGCACGGCTCCTGCGCCGGGCAAACCAGTCGCGCCTCGATGAAGCACCGCCAGAGGCCACTGTCGCTGACCTCATTACGCACCTTCGCACTAGTGACACCCGCTACCGCGCTGCGCTTCCTGCTGAGTTCAACACCAAGAACCCCCCCCCCCCCCCCCCCCCATGTACATCACCCTCTACTACATAGTCACCCGGCTCCCTGACTCCCCTCGCTCGGTCAAGGACCACTTCCTCTCTGTTTGCCCCACCACACTGACCGTTGACCTCCTCGAGGAGCGCCACTTGGCAGCTGAGAAGAGTATAGTCGCTGTAGGAGCCTCTCGTGGTGACCCTCTAGGAGCCCGCCAAGACGTGCAGCAGCATTGCGGGTGGCCCATTTTCAGCGAACAGTGCTGTCAGCATCAGTAGGCGGGGCAGGAGAGGCACCAGGGAGAGTCCGTCTGCCCTATCGCATTGTAGGAAGAGTTGTAGGTCATCGACCCGGACCTCGAAGTCAACAGCACGACCCTCCGCATCAAAGGTAAGGACACTGGGGGTAGCCATGACAGGAGTGGTCTAGCAGGGAGTGCTCTCACTAGTCCGGGTGGGTGGGCCGGGGCGCGCCGGAAGGAACAGGGCGGCAACCGCTGTGGCAGTGGCTCGGCAGGGGCTCGGTAATGGCGGCTCGACGGCGGCCTCGGCGGCTCGGCGGCTCGGCTGTTGGGCGGCTCGGCGGCTCGGCTGCTGGGCGGCTCGGCGGCTCGGCGGTTGGGCGGCTTGGCGGCTCGGCTGCTGGGCGGCTCGGCTGCTCGGCTGTTCGGCTGCTTGCGGCTCGGCGGCTCGGGCGTGAAGGGGCCGGGGAGGGGGGCCGAAAGGGGGCGGCGACGGGGCCACAAGGGGCGGCGACGAGGCCGCTAGGGGCGGCGACGGGGCCACGTAGGGTCGGCGACGGGGCCGCGTAGGGGTGGCGACGGGGCCGGTAGGGGCGGCGACGGGGCCGCAAAGGGCGGCGACGAGGCCGCGTGGGGCGGCGACGGGGCCGCTAGGGCCGGCGACGGGGCCGCGAAGGGGCCGCGAGGGGCCTGGAAGGGCGGCGACGGGGCCGCTAGAGGCAGCGACGGGGCCGCGAGGGGCCTGGAAGGGCGGCGACGGGGCCGCGAAGGGGCTGCGAGGGGCCTGGAAGGGCGGCGACGGGGCCGCTAGGGGCGGCGACGGGGCCGTGAAGGGGCCTCGAGGGGGCCTAGAAGGGCGGCGACGGGGTCGCTAGGAGTGGCGACGGGGCCGCTAGGGGTGGCGCGAGGGGCCGTGAGAGGGGCCTCTAGGAGGGCTCGACAAGAGGGCGGCCAACGGGGCGCGCCTCGGGCAAAGGCGACTCGTGCTCCGGTCAAAAAAAAAAAAAAATCGATTTCAGTGGTGGGCCCTAGAAAGCGTTCCCATAGAGAACCTGCTCTATACCATGTCAGAATCACAACCACTAAACCATTGGGATAAAAGGGCTTGTTTCAGTAGCGGGTCAGTGTGCCCATAACCCACGAGGTGAACGCGCTTGTAACCCTCTCCAGGATCAATCGGGCATCCACAGTGCAGATCTACTGACACCCCCCCACACTGGAAGGCCCAGGACTAAGCACAGCGACAACGACCTACATGTGCATACACCGGGAATCGAACCCGAGACCGCTCTGATACCATGTCAAGAAATGAGGAATGGATGAACTAACAAGCAGGTGGGTACAAGTAGGAAAACCTAAAAGTGTTGTACCCCATATTGTCTACCCCACTTTAGCCTACACAGACTATAGCATATGAGTTTGACAGCAGCGACACTCAAGAAGCGAAGGGGAGTGTTGGAAACAATTGATTTAGCGCCTCTGTCGTGTCAAAACACCAAGTCAGAAGCGAAGCGAAACATATCGAAGCATTGGCGAGTCAACCCTCGGAGGTTGAACAACTGCGGAGGTTACGCAGAAGTCAAAGGTCAGCGACCTTTGACCTGACAAGTACAGTGCGACAGCAAGGACAAACAACTGACTCGCTATTGAGAAGTTGCCCGAGTCGTCACTGTATCGAACCGCAACAGAACAGCAAAACCGTTATTAGTTATAACCCTTCATATTCCCTTGTACTCATAAAAAAACGTGTATCTCTTTGTCTTAATCAATCTACTTTGCCCTCACATACCAGCGCAAGGTGGGTCACAAACCTTTCATTAAACGCTTCCGCTATTACATTGTCCTACTCAGAATTTAGTTCTGCAAAGATCCTAAGGGTTTTTTTCAGCCCAACAGGGATGACCCGATGTGCTGCATTGCAGCTCGGGACTTCCCAAGATTTGGGATGAGTCAAACAGCGGATGTCCCGAAGCCAGGAATCCGCCCTGAAATCTGATGGGTCCTCGAGATGCATTGGAATTTGGCGTTTTTGCAAGGCTTTCTTGTTTGGTTCTGGACAAAAAGACCATGGATGTCCTGCATACAGTGCCACACGTGAGCAGCAGCCAGAGTGTATTGAAAATGTTCAGGAATGCTGTATCCTTCATAGCAATATACCATTATGTGTTTATGCACAAGTGATTATAAAATGTATCTGATCACAACCTTCACATTTGTCCAGTCCACTAGATCCCAAATTCTCAAAATCCTGCTATACTCTCTTCCACACCCAATGTCCCAAACTATGCACTTCATGCACACTTGATTATGGGATTCCAAATGAATGTAGACCGTGCCCCCCTATTGGTATTGGAGATGTATGGAGGGAGAAGGGAGGATGGATGGAGAGGGAGGGGAGGATGGAGGGAAAAAAAAGGGGGATGTGGGGAAGGGGGAATGGAGGGGGAAGTGAAGATGGAAGGAATAAGAGAGAACAGAGGGGCTAGGGAAGATGGAGGGAGAATGGAGGAAGGATGGAGGGAAGGGAGGGCGTAGGGTGCATGATGAAGGCCAGATACGTCGGTAGAAAACACCAGGGCAGGCAGGTGATGATTACAATGTGGTAGTAATTAGTTACAGAGTTCAAGTCAAACTCACGTAATCTAGTCCCTGCACAGCATCTGATAATCCACTCCTCGCCCCTCCTAATTCACACTCCTAACCCAACCCCTCCTACCTAACTCCACTCCGCGCCCCTGCTTTGTCCCGCTCCTCGCCCTTCACCTGCTCTTCTCGCTTGCTGATACAATGCGTCCCCGCTGGGTCAGAAGCAGTCAAGACTGGTACTGCTGCTGCGGCCCCTCCTGCTCCGACCTTCCTCCCGTTCCTCCACTTTCCCCCTGACATCTGCTTGTGTACAGTACAAGTCACTGATCTCCTTCCAAAACCCCCACGCCGCTACTTCAACTGCTCGTCCCTCTTCCTCCATCCCGACATCTGCTTGTGTACAAGTCATTAATCTCCTTCCAAAACCCCCACGCCGCTACTTGAACTGCACATGCGCCATGACTCCACTCGCTCTTCCCAGCATCTGCTTGTGTACAAGTCATTGTTCGTCCAAAAACCCCACGCCACTACTTAGACTGCACATGCGCCATGACTCCGCTCGTCCGTCCCCCTCCATTCCCCCCGCTCGTCCTCCCCCCTCCATTCCCTTCGCTCGCCTCTCCCCTTCTCCCCCGTCCACCTCCCCAAAGAGGGTTTTAACCTTACCAGCAACAGCCTCCGCTTCGTCTTGTACCGAGTCGCATTCGCGGCTTGAGCTATCAACGCTCCACGACTGCGCAATGTCACCAAAGTAATCCATCAAATCCAGAGCCAGCTCCTCATGATACGACTCGGCCCGCTGCTGCTGCCCTCGAGATTGTTCGCCATCCGTTTCGCCACTGCGATTCGTTTCGCCACTACGCCCCGGCAGCGGCGGCGCACGGAGCACGTCGTCTATATCCTGCGGTCCTGCCGCTTCCTGCCGACCCTCAGCTCCGCTGCTGCTAAGACTCCGCTTGACGTGCGACGGCTGCGACGACTCCTGCGGCGACTGCCGCTGCTTGTCCCCCTGCTCTTTTCGCACAAACGGAACAACCGTCACAGGCTCCGCCGCGGATCCGCTGAAGCTTCTCTGCCGCGCCGCCCCTACTCCCGCCCGTCCCCGCTGCCGCGGAGGGGACTTCGGAATAGCCCCGCCGCCGCTGCCGCCGCCGCCGGCCGCGGAACTCGCGGTCACTCTATTGCGCGTGCGACTCGGCTGCGCGGAAACGCCCTCGAGTCCGTCGAGAACCACGGCGTTTCCCGCTGCGGCGGCAAGCGCAGAATCTCGGCCGCTGCCGCGGTTGGAGAAAATGCGCAGCTTGCGGATTGCCGTCGCGGCGGGGCGTCGGCTGATAATCGACGGTCTCGCGGCCGCGGAAGCGTCGCTCCCCTCAGCGGAGAGGGGCTGCGGCTCGGCGGAGTCCGGAGCTTCTCCTTCCCACGACGGCGCCGCCGGGACCCACCCGGTCGCGGCGCGACGGTCGCTGCCCGCGTCGGCGCTCCCCGGCGGCGGCTTTTCGTCTCCCAGCGCGCTGCGGAGCGAGGAGCAGTCGGAGGACTTGTTTCGCGCGCGTCGGATGATCATCCGATTTCTCCGCGGCCGGCGCGCTGCGCCGCCAGTTTCGTCGGAAGCTTCTTCCGCCCATAGCTCCTTCATGTCGACCGACGCGGTCGCCCTGTGGCGCACGACGGGCGCGAGCGGGCTGCGTACCGCCGCCAGCGCGGCGGGGCGCCACGCGGGGCTTCCGCCGCCGCCGCCGCCGCACGGGGAATGTAGCGCGGAGGCGGAACCGCATCCCAAGGGGGACAACGCGGCCGCCGGGTGCTCGCCGTGTTTCCGCCTTCCGGCCGCGACAGCTTCCGCCCATGTTCCTTCCGCGGACTGGGGGGAAGTGCCTGGAGAATAACTCCTCACGTGAGTCCTCGGGCTTAGCGCGAGAGCGGCTGTGGTGTTCAAAGCGCGCTCGCGGTCTAGCGAGCGGGTTTCGGCAGGGCATTGAGCTCGCACGCAGCGGCGAGCGCGGTTTGCGGGGGAGTTCGCGAGTGGCCAGTCCAAATCGGGAGGGTGATCGGAAGGTGAGAGTACTGGACTGCGAACAACCGCAGTTTGGGAAGCCATAGGGAAGGGTTTCATCGATCAACAGAGCTGGAAGGATGACAGTGGATAACTGGTTCTATAGAGTGAGAAATTACAGCATTGCTGTGTGTTGCTTGCTCAGGAGATTTTGCATGTGTGCACACAAGGGCCGCGTTCTGTAGGCGTTATTGCCTCCGCATCAAATGTACGGTCTCTGTCCTTCCCCGTAGCTTCTCGCCGCACCAAATGTCAAATTTCTCAATTTGCTGGGCGGCGTTGCCACGAAGTCTCGTCAAACTCTCGAATCTCTCAAATTGCTGCCCCACATAAGTTGTGCGCTGGCTGATGCTACCTCTCGAGGCAGAATTGGGTCCGCACAAGTTGTGCAGACATTTGCCTGGAGAAGCAACATCGTGGAAACTTCACCCCGTTAGATTTGTGTGCCCCAGAAAGTGGCGTTCTGCAGTCTGCAGCGTTAAATTTGGCGCAAGCAGGTCTGGCCGGACCGCTCTTATCACCAAATGTTGATAGGCAGATGCCCACTTATCGTGGAAGATTCTGCGGACCCAGTTCCTTGCAATTTAACGCCTGCAGAACAGCGCCAAGAAGAACACAGGTGTTGTGGTGTGGTGGTGTGGTGTGGTGTGGTGTGGTGTGGCGTGCGGGTTATGGCGTGCCGTGTGGGGGCCTTCCGGCGCAATGCTCGAAACCAGTCCGCTACTGTCAGTGTGTGCTGGATAGCGACAGCCCATTCCAAGAGTAGCCGAATAACTGTACAGAAGTGCGAAAATGTTGAGCGAGTGTACTGACTGGTTACACACAAGTCGTGCGCTTTTCTTGTGGATGAGCCGAGATGCGAAGCGCCATCCACTCATAGACAGTCACTCTAGCGAAGCTCGACGAAACAGCAGTGAAACTATTCCTCGGAGTGCACTATAGAGAATCAGAACAAAATCGAATGGCTTGCCCACACTCACTCACGTGATTGGTTGGTTGCCCGTTAGGACTCTAGCTTCGCCAAACTGTTCCATGCCTGCTTCACGCCAAGGCTTGAAAATCCAAATACCGTTCAGAGTTTGTATACACTTGGAGCCTACATTCCACATTGTAAGGAAAATTCCTTTTCCTTACTTCGCGTCCCTTCTGTTGGGAACAATAAGTCTTAAGGCGCCTCTGTCGTGTCGAAACTCAGGGCACTAGCGAAGCAGTCCAAATCGAAGCATCGCGAGTCAACCCTCGGAGGTTGGGGTAACCGCCTGGAGGTTACGCGAAGGTCAAAGGTCAGCGACCTTTGACTTGACCAATACAGCGCGACAGCAAGGACACACAACTGACTCGACATTGAGCAGTTGCCCGAGTCGCACTGTATCGAATCGCAACAGTAAAACGGTTTAAATCTATCTATTCGTATTCCTTGTACTCTTATATAAACCTTGTATTTGCTTGTTTAATCCAACTTACTTTGCTCTCACATACTAGTGCAAGGTGGTTCAACCACTCTTTTATTCAACGCTTCCGCTATTACAATCCTACTCAGTCCTTAAACTCTACAAAGATCCTAGGGCTTCTCAGCCCAACATGGTATGAGAGCAGTTAGAGTTTAAGATCATTTTCTCTCTCAATACTTAAATACAAAGAAAGAAGACATGTCTGCAAGGAAGGAGAGGAGCTCCTCCAACGGCTCCCCAGGCACTACTCCTACTCCACCTCCTACCTCTGGCCTACAGACAGAGGAAGGCACTACCGCAAGACCAGCAGCTGGGTCCACGGAAACACCAGCAGGCTTCGATTCAAACATGATGGAGAAATTTTTCTCCTTCATGTCCTTCTACGAGCAACACCAGCAAGGAGTGCCTGCGCAGTCAAACAACAGCAACAACAATGTTACTCCGATGAGCCTCGACGGCTCATCCTATGCACGCGGGATGCAACAACAACAACAGCAGCCTACCTTTGCGCCGTATGAGCCCCAACGTGGCTCCGTCAGCTTCATGCCGCAACCGCAACCTGCATCGGGACAAGAAAGGACGTTGGACGCGTTACAAGTCCAATCGCAATTCGCGCACGTCCTAAAACTACAAACGACAAAGCCTTTCGACGACAAAGATTTCTTTACCTGGTCGTTCGAGTTTGAACTGATGATGGAAGGAGCACAGATTCTTGGCTTCTTCGACGGGTCCCTGCCATATCCGACAAACGGGACACAATATGAGAAGCAGCAGTATACATATCAATCGATGATGGCGTACACGATTCTGCTGAGGAACATCACCCCAACCCAGCAGCAGAACATCAGGACTTACCGAGGCTACGGCAACTCCGCGGAGCTCGCGTACAACCACCTGAAGAACCTGTATCAAGCAACAGACAGCGTAAACCAAAGCAGGTTAATGGCGCAGTTGACAACGATTGAAATGAAACCAGGCGAGAAAGGCATGGCTTATATCAGCCGCTGCCGCGAACTGCGCGACAAGCTCCTTCGATGCGGCGGGTCAATTTCAGAAGACGCCTTTGTCACGGTGGTCATCGGCGGTCTCGGCCCCCACTGGCGCTCCACTCGCGCCATATTACGAGCACACGGGAGGATCTCCGAAGCGGCACTCTGCGCCGAAATTCATGCTGAGCAGCAGGACATGGACCTGCAAGAAGAAAGACACAAGAAGAAAGCTTTAGCACCAGAATTTGCTTTTCACACTCAGCGACGACACAACGGCAACAACAATCGACAACAGCAAGTGAAAACGGTACCTCCGTTCTGCCACATCTGCAAAACCTCGGGCCATCCTCGCACGCATTGCCCGTCTCGTGAGACGACACCACAGCGACAACTGCGGCCTTCAAGCTCCCAAGTTGCTTCAACGCAAGCAAGTCCGACAACCACGATCCAAGCTTCAACGGCTTCAACTGGACAACCTGCACAAGGAGCAAGAAGCATCGTCAACAGCATGGTAAAGATAAACGATTCCTGCATTACAAAGTCGCCACCCTACTACTCACCAGAAGAGGAGCTCGACAACAGGACGCCTCGCCGCGAATCACTCCAGCCGAATCCGACGTACGCCGCCATCGCTCAAAGCGAACCGTCCGGCCAAGACACTTGGTTCTTGGATAGTTGCTACGGACAACACATGTGTTCCTCCGGGCGCTTCGTACAACGCGAACATCGACTCCAGCGAGAAGTAGTCATCACGGTCGCCAACAACCAGAACCTGCGCACAAGGCGACAAGGAGTCGTTCAGCTTCGATCAAGAGAGACCAACGTTATACTACACATGTCAAAAGTACTCATCGCAGAAGGACTCGGTTACAACTTACTGAGTGTTAGCCAGCTGATGGCGAAGGGGATTCACTTGGAAGCCGACAGCACCACCCAAGAATTTAAGTCATACCACGGGAGGGGCGGCCTCTACATCGGGAAAGCAGTGTTGAAGAATAACGTCTTCGTTCTTGACTTCGTCCCCGACCTGGGCACTGCAGACAGCGACGCCATCGTCAACTTTACCGACTGGACACACCCTCCGGACCTCGATCCTGATTTCAGTCCAGGAGGCTTCTGGTACTCACACACCATCCCTGAAGCAGAGCGAACACGAGCATTAGCAACAATTCAACAATCGACAGCAGCAGAGACAACATCGGCAGCAGCAGAGACAACATCGGCAGCAGCAGAGACAACATCGGCAGCAGCAGAGACAACATCGGCAGCAGCAGAGACAACATCGGCAGCAGCAGAGACAACATCGGCAGCAGCAACAACATCGGCAGCAGCAGGAACAACAACACCAGTCATCGTCGACGAAACACCACCAACACCCACACAACAGTTGAACCCGACTCAACGAGAAGTCCACCGCAGCGCCAACTTCGTCGCCAGCTTCTACTCCAACTCCGACGCATATCAACGTTCACCCGGACACCGCGCCTCCGAAGACATCTGGCACGCACGCACAGGTCATCCAAGTAACACGGTGTTAAATAATACGATACGAGCAGGAGTACTAGACAAAGACTCACTACTACTACTCGACGGCAGAGAACTTCAACGTGCACGGGGGACTTGCCTCATCTGCCCCGAGGCCGACTTACCACATCGACCTTTTTCTTCTCACCACAACCCGAGCGCACCTGCATACGCACCACTCGAAAAAGTCTACAGCGACATCCTCTACAATCGAGAACCAGGCCAAGTAACCTATAATTACACGATTACCTTCATCGACGCCGCCACTCGATACGTCTGGCATCGCAACCTACCCAGCCGCGACATGGCACTCGCAGCATTCGCCGCTTGGCTACCGGTAGCAGAAAGGGAATCAGGAACGCAGCTGAAAAGCTTCCAGTCAGACGGAGGTGGCGAATACACCTCTCAGCGCTTCAAGCAGTACCTGGCGGAAAGGAAGATCAAGCAACTCCTCTCCCTTCCCTACGCACATCAGCAGCAGGGTGTTGCAGAAAGAATGAACAGGACCCTGCAGAACAGCATGCGCAAACTACTACGTGGCATGCGG